ATTTTATTGCTTTCATCGATCAATTTGAAGAAAATTCTCTTTGTACAATACTATTTGAAAGTCATACACTGCCCATAATTGCAAGTCAGTCCCATCTGTAAAAAACTGGAAATGGGAAAACGGCGTTCAAAGATTTAACAAGTTTTCTGATTTGACACTTACTTTGGAGGAATAATTTTAAAAATTAACGTACAATGTGATAGAATGCATCTTTGTTTACCAAACAATATAGGGAAAATTTCGTGAAATTTTTATTTTATCGCCAAAATCTGAGTGCTGCATTAGCTTAGCACAGTATTGAACAGTAGAAAGATACCATGGTCCCATAGAACGTTATTGAATGTTTCAGGATTTGTTCCGCTGGTTCCTGGCCGGAACATATACCGGTGAGTATGGGTCTTCATCAGACCAGAGCTTTTTCATAAACGTGCCAAACCCACCATGCGATAAATCAGTTCACGTGAGAATTCAAAAATAAGAACAATAAGAGCCATGATGAGTGACCAGCACCATGTTGGCCACACCGGGATATATTCCGGGTGTCCCCGGGAAAGTGGAAAATCCTTTTTTAAATCAAACCTATCAAGCGATACATCAAATCACATGAGAATTCAAAGCCATATCCTTTGGCGGTGAAACTGAGTATCGTAAGAACTATATTGGCCACATCCGGGCATGTTCCAGATACCCTAGGGGAAGTGGAGTCTTGAGACAAATCACATGATGCGATGTGTTGTCTAGCATTTCTAACATATTTTTTTTTCTAATGGGGCTGACTTGTGGTTACTTTTCGCTGTGGGACAATTTGACTTGGTATTGTTTTTCATTTTTCTTGAACAATCCACCTTTTTTCAATAGCACATCTCAAAAAACATAGACAGATAAACTGAATAATGATGAGCTTTGAGTGGGTTGGTTTATTTCCTTTAAATTCCGTTATAATTGCTTATCTTTTGACAGATACGCGTATTTCGTCTACTACTTGCAGACTTCATCAGTGCCAAGTACTCAACACCACTGAGTACTTGGCACTGATGAAGTCTGCAAGTAGTATACGAAATACGCGTATCTGGCAAAAGATAAGCAATTATAACGGAATTTAAAGGAAATTAACCAACCCACTCAAAGCTCTTCTTAAAGGGATTCCGTTAAGAAGTTCGACAAATTTAGAGGATTGAATAATGATGCTAACTCAAAATTGATAAAATTCCAGATGGGACTGACTTGCGATTACCGGCAGTACAGGTATCGCACTACACCACGCCAACTCAGTGACCAGAGATCCTACAGTAATCATTTCGCTATGTTATCTGCGATTTCGGGCCATGACGAACGCTTTCGACGACAGAAAGGAGCATCGTCAACCTCCATTGCCGAAATTCAAATACCAATAGAAGAAACCCCATCGGAGCTCAACCAGCCCTTCTCTCCAAAGCCAGTGGGAAATCCGCGGGTCCTGACGAGTTGGGCTATCCTCTGTTAAGAAACCTTCCCGCTGAAGGTAAGGTAACATTACTCGAATTGATTAACCATGAATGCGGAAACGACTCACTGTCCCAAGCTTGGAAGCACAGCCTGGTCGCTCCTATCCAGAAGCAGGGTTCTTCCGGTTGGGAAGCCAAGAATTTCCGACTCATCTCCCTCACTTGTTGTGCGACAAAGATCACCGAGAGAATGGTTAACCGAAGATTGATGTACTTCCTTGAATCACGGAATCTTCTTGACCATTGGCAACACGCGTTTCGCCCGGGGCACGGGACAAATACTTACTTCGCAACTCTTGCGCAGGTTCTCCACGATGGTTTTTCCGCAGGCAAGCATACCGAACTGGCAGCTCTCGATATTTCTAAAGCCTATAACAGAGCCTGGATGCCGGACGTCATACGCCAGATGGCGGAATGGGGTCTGGGTGGGCACATACTTCATTTTGTAAAGAACTCCTTTCTTAATCGTAAGTTGTTCTGGGCAACCATCGATCAAAGACATTCCGGGAGGAGACTGGAGTGCCGCAGGGGTCGGTGATAGCAGTCACCTTGTTCCTCGTTCGCATGAACAACATCCACAGTGGTCTCCCCAAGGAGATATACATATTCGTATACGCCAACGACATCGTTCTCGTTACCATCAGTGACACCGTTAAGGCGTTCCGTCAGAAAATGGGTGCGGCTACGGCAGTATCATTGTGGGCATTTTCCACCGGACTTCGGCTTTTTAGCCGATAAGAGCTCCCTTATTCACATTTGTACCCATCATCACCGTCCTCTCAGCACCTTTATCTACATCGCCGGAACCGTTGTTCGGGTTAAAAAAACAGTTCGCGTCCTAGGGTTTCGTCTTGATCAGCATCTGACTTTCACTGCACATTTCGATGACGTCAAAAGCGGTTCCAAAACCAGACTGAATCTTCTCTGTTCTATCGCTGGACGGCACGCTGACAGTAACCGGTCCAACCGGCTCCGTGTTGCCAGAGCAATTCTCGAATCGCGTCTTTTCTACAGCATCGAAATCATTTGTCTCGCCCGCGATCTGCTAATCTCCAAACTCGCTCCCACGTATCGAGAAGCTATCCGTATTTGTTCTAGTCATATTCCGTCTTGGCAACCTGTATCGAGAGTGGAATGCTTCCTTTCGACCGACTGACCACACAAACTATCTGTAAGCGGGCAATAAATTTCGCTGAGAAGACAGTTGGCCCTGACGAGGGAGTTTTCCTCATCACCGAGGCAAAACTACTCTTTTCTGCAGCTGCCAATCTGGAACCCCCCCCCAGTTTCCAGGGTCCACTGCGGAGCCAGTGGTCATACAATCCGATATTCCGACGGCTCCGCAGCCCGCGGGCGTGTCTCCATCTTTTCGGCAGAGGCTGCCACTGCTTTCATCGCTGCCACTACACCATCCAGCACTTTGATACAGCTCGATGAATATAGAAAAGAAAAATCGCGAAACTCAAACTTTTCAGTTCTTAAAATATGAAGCTTTGAATGAGTATATAAACAGAAAACAGCATATGCCTAGGGGCCAGACAGCTTTAAATCAAGAGTAATTTTTAAGCAAATTTTGAGTAGCTCTGAGTTACTCCCGCTGTTCAATGATGAATATCGTTGTCAACATGTCAATATGTATCGCAGCAACTCAGTCAACAAAAGAAAAGTTTTGATCGAGTTATGTGTCACATATGTTTCACCGGTATTCAAAACAATTTTGTAAACTTTTCTTATATTCTAGCGTATCAGTTGCATTCCTGGAATTTTGCATGACTTTAATTACTTTGGTCAGCCATGATTAAGGAACAAGTTGCTTCTACCATAGAATTATTCCAGACATCGCAGATTGTCTCGTCAGTGGAAGTGAAAAATCATTGCCAATAACGCTTTGTAAATTGAAAGCATACTACGAATATTCTACCAAACACGTAATGAAAAATTCACACCGACAACCCTGCCATTACTTCATGAAAATCCATGAGTTTTTATGGATTAAAGTGTAATATATAATTGAAAATATTTTGAAAGAAACTAATAAGCTGTAAAAGAAAATAAAAAATCATCATTTATTTCTTCATATTGCATTTAAGGACAATTTCAAAATTTTGAACACATTCAAAAGACGATATGATGTGTATATGTCAGCCTTAACTGTCCAAATTCGTGGTGGTCATTTGACAGGGATGTGCAGGTGGTTCAAAATGCTGCAGGTCCGTAACTACATGTACATAGACTCACCAGAGTTGATCAGGTTTCTGTCCTTTATTTTTTTCATATTTGTAGTTCTACTAACGCAAACAAAACAGGAATAGCTCTTGATGATCTGGGAATAATAATACGGGTTTTAATCAGGGTAAAACTTAACAACGGTATTAGTGTAGAGTATTAGTTAAAACACCATCCTTTTCGTTACTACCGAATGCTCAAATAATAGGATGACGAACTATGCAATCATTCCCTGATCATTCCTGTAAATCCATATAAGTTGTTGGAGTATGATCGATGTTGGAATATAGACAAACGTTTTCACTATACTTAAAAAAGAAAGTTTGTTTTAGAGAGAAAAATAACTTACTAGCATTTAAACAAAACTGAAGCTGAAAGTCTCTTTAATAAATAAATCTAAATCTAATTCTTAAACAAAACTGTTCATGATGGCTTACGTTGGGCTTGACAGCCCAAGACGTTATTTTGTTTGTAAATACGACAGATTGAAAAAAAAGTTAAATTAAGGCTACTTTGTTATTTTTTGAGTAGCTACTAGTAACTCACAGTTACTCAATATTAATATATTAGCTCAGAGTACAGCTGACTTGCCCCTAGGCATAGGCAATAAAAAGACAACATTGAATTTGTGATGACTATATCAGAAATAGATTTCATAAATGATGGTTTGAGCGGTTTTCCAAATAGGCGAAAAATACGAAATGGTTTTTTAATATGTTTGTAAAATATGTAACACATACTATATAAAAACTGTATACGATATCAACGGAAATACCCTAAGCTACAATATGGAACCAATATTTCTAATTTAGAAAAAGCGCAGCGAGTAAATTTAATCTTTATATTATACTATCAAAGTTACCCGCATTATCAAAGATACCCCGTTTCCTTTGGCCACTCTTGAGAAGATTTTATAAATTGGTTTTATCAACTACTTTAAAACTTCGATGAAAATTTGATAAATTCTGGAGTAATAGTGGCTGAAAATCGAGATTTTCATTACCGTCAGTAGACTTTGACATCCTGAATTAACAAAGAGGAGTATCTATAAAAAGGAAACTTAAACTTAAGTATGTCGCAGAATTTTGAAAAATAATTCATTCCTGGGATTTTGCAACAAAGCACTAATATCGAGAACTTAAACTTTTGACACTGGACCTAAATTACTTCGAAGTATAAGATTTGTTTAAACTTCCAAGTGCATTCTTACGCTTTCGCACATTTATTTTTATTTATTTTTATTGAATACTGACCCTGCATTGCTAGTTGTTTCTAATAATTCAAACTTACCCTAATATCACTAGTTCACCATATTTTATGCGGGGTTTGTCTGTGTCAGCATCGCTTTCCGTTATTATAGGAGACTCGGTGCCGTCGGTGCTAAAAATAGATAAAGAACAGATAGAAAGAAACTATTAGAACCACGTGTGAGCAGGAATGCACGCACCCCAAAAATATTCCACTGATGTCATTGAAATAGATGGGGATTATGTTACATTAGTTTGGATAAGATAAGAAAAGAAAAATGATGGCGTTGAGTACACAAAATAGAAGAAACTGTAATTGATCATTTTATGCGCTTACGATAAATTCCGATTGGAACATTAATATGTAGGTATTTCTTAAGTGACATTGATGCTAAAACGCAACAGCAACTTTCGCAGGTTAAAATTCATCGGGCTTAATTGTACAATGAAGCCACTTAGCCAGCTAGTAATCGTATATTGACGCAACATTTCACAATCACGGAAACCCAATGGAAAGATCGTCACGTCTCTAACAGTCAGTGGAACATCCCACCGACGATGTGCGTTTGGTGATAAATCGTTTTTCGCGATTTTCCAACCGCTCTATTTTTCCCCATCGTAAGACATCAACAGCCAGACTTATGCACTACTGCCAACAACGATGACGTATAGGTGTGCAATGAAGAAGTAGGTGAAAAATACAACTGATTACTGTGAATGAAGCGTAGGATAGAAAAAAAAACGCAGTCATCAGACTCCCCACACAAACAGATTGCCGCAACTGCGAACATGATGAATGTCCACGATGACTCGGAGCAAGTGGCACTTTGCCGAGGTGGAATGATGCTGTGTTCTGTAGCTGCTGCTGCCTCAATTGCTGTTGTTGTTGTTGTTGTTTTTTTACTGTGTGGCGGAACTATTTTGCGGTCATTAACCCCCTCCCCCCGTGCCGGTGAAAGGCTAGCATGAACCACCGGGAACCGTTACGTAGAATGTTTTTTCGTGGATTGGCAACGAAAAAAGAAGCCTTGATCCGCTGACGGTGTGCGAATGGAATGAAACTTGTATACTTGGAATATTTAAGTGATGGGTGGAATGTGAATTTTTAGGATATAAAAAAAAGACTTTCCAGTAAAACCAGCAGTTGATGCAGCTGAGGCGAAAAAAAAAATTCTATTTTTACATACTAACACGAATAATAAGTTGAGCCCTATATTAATGTTTTAGTAGAGCGGGTTATTTCAACGAAGGTTATTTCACCGACAAAAAATTGGGTCATCTCACCATAGTGTTTGTATCGTCGCCAACAGCGTAAAACATAATTGCACGTGCAGTTCATTGGTACAAAGATTTACTCAAAAACTTATACTTCTACAACCCCAAATGCCGTCCAAACACAATCCACGATAATCGACGGCAATGCCTAATTCCTCATAAGTATTCCTTCTTATTGCCCATCACCAAAACTTCAGCCAGTACAAAACACCCGGAACAGCCGTCCACATACAGCAAAACAGGCTGAATGTACAAATATGGGTTCCGCCCTGTACATTTGCGTACAATTTTCGACATCGCCAGTTCCCCACGCAATCGATGTTATTGCTTGCCGGAATCCAATGCCGGATGTTGATGTTTTCTTTTGTTGCTTTACGACTACGAGCCGCGCCAAAACAATCAAGTTCTATGGAATGCTGGAGAATTCGCATACATACGGGTTCGTTGTTTTTGCTGCTTCCATTTGTCCATAATTAAACAGAAACATTGTTCGTTCCGCATGGGACGCTCTGTAACATATTCTCCAACAGCGATCTCGCGCCTTAGCCGTGATAACGACTCGATTTCATCAATGCAAGTCGTTCATCCAATCGTCGCGGTGACTTTGCCAAAGTAAAATATTCTTGCCGGGTTGCCAAATTTGAAAACGAAACATTTTCTCAACCGAACGGGTGTCCTACAAAAAAAAAGCTGGAAGCCTTATGCAACATAGTAGTGTGAGAGACCAACGCACAGTAGGGCGATTCCTAACAAAACCTGGACAATGTTCTGAAAGACCTTGAAAATGGCGGCAGCGTTTCTTTCGATCTGTTTCACGACTTAAACTCTTTGCCCCTTATGGCCAAAATGACCATAAAGACTGGAACGCGCAAAAATTGGTCGACAGAAAAAATCGTTTCCTTCAGTCAAAATTCATATCACAAAAATCTTCTTATTTTTCTTTTGATACTTCAATTCATATATTTAAAGGAAAAAATGTTCTTTTATTCTTTTGGTTTGCCAAATACGAACTGCCGTGTCTTCCGCTTAGCCCCTCCATTAAATTTTGCACAGTGGTCTCATCGACCTTATTCGCCGCCGAACGCCAGTTAGATTTAAACTGCTGCTCGTTTTCCATGGATTTATTAGTTTTTTTTTAGATTCCGTTTGACCAAGGCCCACTACCGTTCGGTAGGGCGGAGTTCTGGGCTGTTGGGAGGGTTGTGGTATTTGGGTACCACAACCACGTTGTTCGCATCGTACCACTCGATTGCCTTTTTCCCATAGTGGCAGCTCGCCAAGTCCGGCCAGAACAGAATAGGTCTATTATGTTTCTTTAGGAATGGTAGCAGCCGCTTTTCCAGGCACTTCTGGATGTAGATTTCTTGATTGATGGTTCCCGTAGTAATGAAAATGCCGCTTTTTAGACCACACGTGCATATGGCCTGCCAGACGAGATATTTTTCGGGAAATTCGATAGTTTGATGGTTTTGAAAATGTTAGCCACCTTCCCTTTTCCTGATGCGGTATAAAACTCCTGTCCCGGAAGCTGCTTGAAATCCGCCTTCACATAAGTTTCGTTGTCGAACTTTGTGATCATATTCGTATACAGCTTTCGGGACCGCTGCTTTGCCGTGTTTTGTTTGTAATCTCGGTTCGCCACCTTCACCTTCTTAATCGTCAACAACTCGGCTTGTTTCTTGGCCCGCTGCACAGTAGTATGGGAGACATTAAGCTTGCCAGCGACGTCCCGGATGGAGAGGTTAGCATTCCGCTGTCAGGATAAGTTGGAAGCATCTTCCAGAGATAATTAAAAAAAAACTTCCGAGAGAAGAATTTTTCAAGGAATCGGAAGAAACTTCCGGAGGTCCTTAAAAGAACCTCATGAAAACGACAAAAGAAATCTGGGAAATATGGGAAAACAATCTGGAGAAGTCGGATGACACTTCCTAGAGAAGTTGGATTTAACATCTGGAACAAAATGACTTCCAGAGAAATCGGACGAAACTATTGGGGGAAATTCAATATCATTTTTTTTTTGTCTTCTTATTTACAAGGCTTTCAGCCATGGGCTGATTTGCCGTATATCAAAATATCAAAATAAAACCGTTAAATTTATTGAATACTTTAGGGGTTTCAGATGCAAAAAAGTCCATGATTAATTTTCCTTCGGCTAAAATCTACCCATCGGGATGAGCTACGTGAATTAAATGCTAAAAAAATTAACTTCAAAATCTCCACGATTTAAAAGAAAACACTTTTACACCTCCTTCGCTGCAGCAGTGATAAGGACCATATGAAAATAGCAAAAGATCTATTTTAGCACTCTCGCTCCAAAGTGCAACACTCTATACTACTGCTTCAACTAATTAAATCGGATATAGAACAATGAATTGGCTTCGACGTCTTGTAGAATGCTCTCGACTCGAGTGACTGCAGGGAAGCTTGCCCTCAACAACGGTTGTTTATGTAGATGTGGTATAATTGGATAGATGCGTTTAGGCCGGTTACTGGTTTCCTTTGAGACAACATTTAGCTGTTTTGCATAAATCACTAGTGCACTTGACTTAATGCTGTTGAATACTCAATACTGTCAATAAATCCGTCAATAGAAATTCCGTCGCCTCTTATTTCCTTAGACAGCTTGGAAATTGCATCAAACGACATCCTGAATAAATTTTCGTAGTACGTATTTCGGCTAACCACGGTACACAAGCGTACAATGAGTCGTACCGTTTATGAATTCCACTTTTACTGTACGAATACGAAAATGAAACAAATTGTAATCGTATCGTTGGACATTATTTACTTCCACCAGAACCACGACTATGTACACAACCAGCTGTTTACATTTGCTTTCGTCGTCGCATCGGTGGTGGTCAATGACTTTCTTCGAGCCCTTGATACTGATGGCTACCGTTAGGAATGATAGTTTCTATCCTAATGTCTGTCCATACACAGTACTGGCAATAATAAAGTTATCATAGTCAATCCAAGAAAAACTTTAAAGTGCTTTAGCTTTCCAGTATTTGCTACAAAATTCCTGAAATATTAGCAACTGGTTAATTAATAATCCAAGGTTAATTGGAAAAGTTTTGAAATAGATTGGCTGAGTTTGTCCGAAGTATGAGCTAATTTAGTAAAATGTTTCTCATTTCACTACCATTTTTCAAATTGTAATTTTTTTTAAGCGTAAAGATCCAATTGAGCTGCAATTTTGTTTTTTTCTAGTCAAAACATTATTATTTTTTTTTTTGTTGAAAATTAACTAAAATCTATCTACAGCGAAAAAAATTAAAAGTCCCAAAACTCATTTTTAACTATTAAATGTATGGTCAACAGATAACATCATTTTCAATTCAAGATGATGACGTCCGGGCAGTGCGCAAAACAGTCAGGTTCATTGAGTCATTTTGATATGAATATGAACTGCCATCTGCCTCGTGAGAGTCTGAATGATTCAGAGGTAAACGAGTCACTAAAAGCAGAGCACTCAGTCAGTAGCTCAGTCAACACGTTTATTCTTCTGTGATGGTACCCAATATTTGTTTTGAATGACTGAGCGTGCATTTTCTATGGAAAAATGACTCAATTACATGCTGTGTGAGCGAAGGCAAGCGGTGTGCGTCGCCTGCTCGTGAGTGACTGAATGTTTTTGTTGGCTCTTTCATTGCCTCGTCCTTTACCGTTTGGTTCAAACGGTCTGCACAGAGCAATGGATTGAATAGTGCAGTGCTTTCACACTCAGCCTAGGCAGTCAATAATTTTAAGCTCTGCGTCCGGGTTTTAAAACACTCTCTATAATATGAGTATTTTTGTAACACAGAAGATAGAATTGTTAGCCAGAAGAAAAAAAAATCAAAACCCATTATCTTGAAA